AAGACGTCTTGGTTGAATGGCACAGAACAGATAAGTCACTTTCAGAATAGATACAGGAGTCAAGAGCTTGTTCTCTCATTGCTGTTAGGACCCAAGTCCTCTTGGAGGAGGTGCCAAATCAGATTGACTAAGAAAGGCAGCTGCACTGCATGTGCTTCCAAGCCGGGAGCCACCAGGACACCAAGGAAGCTGCTGAGGTCCCTCCAGAGCCCCAGCTAAACACTCTACCATGAAAGGGTAACCTGGGTCCACGTGGATCATTTGAGCTGAGATGTCAGGATTCTGAGTCTATCCGTTTTTCAAACTATCTCCTGAAACTTTGGTTTGTCAAAAGAGTCTGCAGGATGGCAGAGAATGGATCTTAGAAATACTTCTCCTATTTCCTCTCAATCTGTGAATCTGACATTATACATGATTCTGCCTCCCAGAGTTAGAGCAAGCCCCAATTTCTCCAGGAAAGCTTTCCTTTACTGGTTACTGTGTTCTGCAAGAAAGCCTGTAATGTAGACAAGACTGGGAATTAGCATCTAGCTAATTCCTAACAAAACCCTCATGATGACAAGAACCTCACCTTTAACAATTTGATTAGGTAAAAGTTGTGGTTCTCCCTGAGGAGCTGATTTTACCACCCTTCCATCCCAACCTCTGGGAACATTTGGCAACATCCGAAGATATTTCTGGTCTTCAAAACTACAGATATCTCAGGGCACAGTGTTGCATGCCTGTAATCCCAGCAGCTCTGGAGGCTGAGGCAGGAGGATCACGAATTCAAAGCCAGCCTCAGCAAAAGCGAGACACTAAGCAATTCAGTGAGACCCTGTCTCTAAATAAAATACAAAATAGGGCGGGGATGTGGCTCGGGGTTGAGTGCCCCTAAGTTCAATCCCTCATACCTGCCCCCACCAAAAAAAAAAAAAAAGAACTACAGTTATCTCTTGGGTAGAGGCCAGAGATACTGTTAATCATCCTACAGGACCAACCCCCACAATTATCTGGCTCAAAATGTCTATAGCAGTAAAGGCTGAGAGTGAGAGACCCTATGCTAAATATATTTTATTGCCTATTTTTTACACACTAAAAAAATTTTCACAATTTTTTTTTATTTCAATAGATTTCAATTGAACGGAGGATTCCACAGTGTTTTTCTAATTGAAAGCATTAATTAAACCCAAATCCCTCTTTGACCCCATGGCAACAATGGGGCCCAGAGAGGATAAGGGGACTTCCCAAGGTCACACAGCAGTGAGTGTAGATCCAGACTTGAGGGCAGGTCCCCTTCACCCCTATTTGTTCTCCTTTTTAACACAGATGCTTGATGTCCATCTCAGGCTTTTTCTGCAGCATAGGAAATGGCCTTGGCCCTGCTGGCTGCTCTAATGCCCTGCCCCATGAGAAGTTTCAGCAAGAGAGTTGTTTCTTAGCAAAATGTGGGATGACATTCATCCAGAACTCAAAAAAATCTGTTTGCTTCAAAAGAAAAAAGTCGGGGGGGGGGAGGGGTGGAGGGAGGAGGAACAAAAGAACCTTATCCCCAAACAGCCATTGCACAGAGAGCCAGCTGCAGGAAATTAAGCAAGATTAATACCCACTCACGTTGATCAAGGGGGAAGAAGGCAGAGGAGCTGCTCCTTAGGAATGATAAGGTTTCCTCTGAGGCACAATAACTTTGCCTCAGAGAGACAAGGAGCCTTTCTCTTTCACTCTGGAAGGATGAGCCCAGTGCCGTCCCATAATAAAGTCTGTGCAGAGGCCTGTCAGAGACCAGGAGAACTTGTCTTCCAGATTAAAAAAAAAAAAATGGGGGATGACACAGCCTCTTCCAGGGTCTAGGGACCCAAAGCCCCTCGCAGAGTCAGAGCTGGGGAGACCCTCGGTGATTGTCCAGGAGAAACGGAGCAAGAGAGTGCACAGATTTGGGATTAGGAGCAAGAGGCCAGCTTACTCGCTCTCTGCAGACACAAGCCAGGGACTGTGTGGCAGTTTACCTGCCCATCTGTATTTAACTTGCAGGCAGGCACCTGTTTTAGCACTAGGACTCTGACACTCCTGTACCGGTGTCTCTACCAGGCGTTAGATTTTTTCTGGAAGATACACCCGGGGAGTGCTCATCTGACCTGTGATGGGGAGGCTGAGACCTGCAAAAGGGGCTTGCTGAGTCAAGGGACCAGTTGCCCACCTCTCCATAGCCAGGTTAGCTTCCTGTCCCAGACAGGAAGGAAAATTTTAAATCCAGCAAGCAGAAAGTTTATGAGCACGCTCTTAAAGTTTTGTGGTTTTTTTTAAAGCTTTGCTATAAAGTGAAAATAAACTCCACAGACACAAAACACACACAACTACCCAGCCATGCCGTTTGGGAAGCAGATTCCCAGCCTTCAGTGAGGACGACTTTCCCTCACAAAATGCATGTGAGGGGCTGGGGTTGTAGCTCAGCGGAAGAGCGCATGCCTAGCGTGTGTGAGGCACTGGGTTTGATTCTCGGCACCACATATAAATAAAAAGTTTTTAAAAATGCATGTGAGCCTCCACTCCACTCTGGCCTCTCAGATCTCCTATGTACCAAGATGTCATTTATTTTCCCCAGGGCAGTGGATGCCAGCAGTACTGGAGGGCTGGAATCACCTGCAGAGACCTGAGTCGGTCCCCATTGTCCCTCCATCCATGCCACCACCACCCCCCCAGCTTCCCTCCAGCCATTTAGACCTCCTATATTAGAGGGAGAATTTAGGCCAATACAAGAGCTTTCACAAATGGTTTCTCTGACCCGACAAGGGTTGTCGCTCTGTTCCTCTTATATCGCAATAGAGTTTATTCCATCTTCATTGCATTTTGAGACTGATGAGATTCCAGCAGTTCTGAGGTTGTCTGTCCATCCGCACACGGCAGCCAGCCACAGCCCAAATTCCTCGTCCTTGTTCCTTTCAACAGGGAATGACAGAGGGCTGTAATGAGGAGCAGGAGAGTGTAGCCTCAAATAAATCCTCCCCCTTTGATCTGTGCCTCTCTGACTGTGTTTGGATGCTAAGCACAGCTTTGATCCCTGGCCTGCCAAAAGCCTCTGAAGATTTTCCCTGCTCTCTGTTCCATTTAGAATGAAGCACAAATTTCATCACCTGGCTCATCAAGGGAGGGAACAAAAAAAAAATGTGAACACCTACTCTCTGAGGATGGCGGTACCTTTTAGGAAGCCAGGGTCAGTGGGGCATGGAATGAACAGTAGAAATTTCCTTACCTGATACTTTCTGTGCAATTTGGCCAAGTCCCAAAGATGGCTGTGGCCCACCCTCCAGCAGGAAGAGAGCGCATGATGTCCTCACTGTGTACCACTCACTTCCTGGCCATCGGGACTGACACCCTGAAGACCAGCACATGCGAGACAGGGAGGAGTTTGGGAGAGGAGACCACTTTGGCTTGGTCTCCCAGTTCTGATGCTGTAGTTTGGATCTTAAAGGTGCACTCACCCTCCCCAATGGTCCGTGTGTCAAAGATTTGGTGAAACACGGCCAAATTATAGAATCAACCCAGATGCCCATCAATGGATGAATGAATCAAGAAAGCATGGTCTATATACACCGTGGAGCTTATTCAGCCATAAAGAAGAATGAAATAATCACATTTACTGGTAAATGGAGAAAATCATGCTAAGTGAGATAAGCCAGACTCAGAAAACCAAGAGCCGAATGTTTTCTCTCATATATGGAAACTGGTACAGAGTAAGAGAAAGAAGGTGGTGGGGAGGGGAGGGGATCTCGTAACAATATAGGGTAGATCAGTAGAGTAGAAAAAGGAGAGGGAGGGAGGAAACAAGGAAAGGGAAAGAAATATGAAATGAATTTAACAATGTTGTGTTATATACATATATAAATGTACCAAAAAAGAACAGCAACTTTATGTATAAAAGGGCCAATCAAAAATAAATCAAGGAGTGAAGAAAGATCAATAGAGGAGAGGAAGGAGAACGGGGGAGGGAGGAGGGAAAGGAAAGGGTCAGGATGGGGATTGAAATCAAATTCCTTGCATGTATTATTTTGTCAATAGGAACCCAATACTATTTGTAATTAGAATGCTCTAATAAAAAAAAAAAAGACTGGGTGACAGGCCATCCCAGGGTGGCACTATTAGGAGGTGGTAGATCCTTTGAGGGGTATGGCCTGTAGAAGGTCCTTAGGTCACTAAGGCATACTCTGGAAGCAACTGTGAGACCCTAACCCCTTCCTCTTTCCTTTTTGGCCCACCATACAGTCCTGCCATAGACCCAAAAGTCATGAGCCAATTGGTCATGAACTAGAACCTCCAAAACTGTAAACCAAAATAAAACTTGTCTCTTTATGAGTTAATAATCTCAGGTTTTGTTATTGTTGTTGTTGTTGTTGTTGTTACAGTAATGGAAAGCAGTCTAACACACCTGAAAACATCTGGTGAAATCATTGTTTATTCAAACTCTTCCCAAGAAGAGATTCACAAAGGATAGTGTCATCAGAGTCATCAACTACAATTGTCAGAGTTCAGGTCCTGGGGCAGTTTCAAGGGGACTCAGGAGATGCAGAATTGTAGTCCCTGTCAAATGTTCTTACCCCCCAAACTTCCAACAGCAGTAGAATCCTGCCCTCAGCCATCCATGGTGAGTCCCAAGCCCTCCATCACGTAGGGCACTTCCTGGCAGGCTCATCGTGGATGGGCCCCAAGGTGGTGTTATCAAGTGAGGGGAGTTTCATGATTGGAGGTTTGCTGACATCCACTGCTCTTCCCCTTTCCCCACGATAGCCTAGCACCCCACAGATGATCTGTGAATCTGACATTAACCATGATTCTTCCTCCCAGAGTTAGAGCAAGCCCCAGTTTCTCCAGAAAAGCTTTTCTTTACTGGTAACTGTGTTCTGCAAGAAAGCCTGGAATGTAGACAAGACTGGGAATTAGCATCTAGCTGCTGATGCAAAACCTTCATGATGACAGAACCGTGCCCCCAACAGAGAACAAAGAACCCAATGATTAATTGATGAACAGAATGGAAAAGGAAGTTTTTATTTATTAATCAGCTTGGGGACTCTCTTGACACTCTAAAACAGGCTATCTCATTTAATCATTGCAACAACACTCCAGGAAATAGTACTGTCCCCACATCACCTATAAGAACATCCAGACTCAGGGAAGCTAAGCCCTATGTCCAAGTTCATGGAGAGACAGTGATGGACAGGATTTGAATTCAGGCTCTCCTGCAATCTCAGAGTGTACAGGCAGTACATTCCAGACTCGGTTCCCGATGGTCAATGTCCCTCCAGGTAGCACACACTCCCTGGTCAACAGAAAGACTCTTGGGCTTTACCAAGACAGCCTCTTCTGAGATGGCCCTTGTTTCCTGGTGAGGGCATTTGAGGAGAGAGACATTGATTGATGTGGGTTGTAATAATACTCATTTGTCTGTAATTACTCCTTGAATTCCAGCCAAAATGGGCCACCCTGAGCAGCAGCTGGACAAGATGTCTGGATTCTCCCACGTAGCAAAGCGTTAGGAACAGGATGGTCAGCAAGGGAGAGCCAGGCGGGGGGAGAAAGCTGTTTCCATTCGATGAATATTTATTGCGTCCCTGCTCCAAACCAGATCTTGAAGCGAGAGAGAAGATAGATTTGAAGTTGAAAATGTAGTCCCTTTATGTCAACTAAATGTTTATTTTAAAAGTGCAAAAATAGAAAAAGTGGTTTTTTTCTTTTGAGGGAGTCACAGGCACATGAAGAAAAATCAGCAGTGAGATGTGATGGGCGCCATATCAGGGTGTGCTGGGGGAGCCCAGAGAAAGCTGGGGATCTGGGAAGACACCAAAGGGGTGACTTTCAAGCCAGGCCCTACGAGTCAGATCTCACATGGCTGTTCATGGTGTGAGCGAGAGGCTGAGAGGTGGGGCAGCATGCAGGCAGGAGAGTGAAGGCCATGGGCCGACATGAGGCACGGCACGCTAGAGGAAGAGCAAGAGTCAGACACATTCACTCTCCTGCCACGTGCTGCCTGGGAGACCTTGGGCAAGTTGGTTTCTCTGAGCCTCGGTTTCCTCCTCCATGAAATGGAGAGAATGATCTCCCTTACCCAGAGGGTTGTTGTGAATATTAAGTGTTACTACATATTTAATGATTAGAAGAGTTTCTGGAATATATAGGTGCTCGATAAAAGCTCATCAGTGTTTTAATAACTTTGTGCTGGTGGTGATGAACAGTAATGAGACACAAGAATAGGACTTTAGGCCATGGCCAAGTTACTGAGAGTTACAAATGCTACGGAAGGGATGAGGAATATGACCCCAGGGGTGATACAGGGTTCTCCTGTTCCAGAATAGAACTCCAGCAGGCAGAGAGCTCTGGACCCAACACACACAGCATATGGCAAGGGCCACCTCACTCTTCCCAGGGCCTCCTGGGGAAAGCAGAGAGATGAGCTTGGCCTGACATGACAAGCTCCTCACCATCAAGCCCGTCACTGTCCCATGATACGCCTGTGGCGCAGGTCTGTGGGTTCATGAGGAAGTCTCAGAAATGACTCATGTGACAAGAAACAGTCTGCCTGCCCTCTTTCTGCCCCACTCACTGCACCCCTCTGAACAACCCTTGGAATATGGTGACAGAGAGTCCACTGTCCATGTAGCCCTCCCAGGCAACCAGAGTGGCCAGGGCTTACTGGCCTCCTCTCTGGCCTCCTCACTGGGAAACTGACTGCCCCTCCCCCAGCTCCTCCCTGCACCCCTGAAGTGAGCCTAACTCTCCAGCTTTGCCCCTGCTCCTTCTCAGCAAGGCCCCCTGGCTTTCTTCGCAGCCCCCTTAAACACTGGCACCTCCTGTTCCTGTTCCTCTTCTCCGCCTATCCGCCCAATGCTGTCTGTCCACCCTATGCCATCTGTCCGCATCCCCCTGGAGATTTCCTTTCCATGGTATCTTCTCTAAAATACTCTGGTCCTCACTGATCTCTGCCTTCTTGGGACCTGTGTGTTCATGGAGAGTACCTGATCCCCAGTGTTAGTCCCTTCTACATCTTATATTACCCATAAGCACCTTGACCTGCAGGACTGATCCCCCAAATAGATAAGGAGCCCCCTGGGGCCTCTCTACTTCCCTCCCCCTCAAGTGGCCTTGGTCACTCTGTACTGCTCCAGAGGGGCTCCTCTAGGCTGCACCCCTCCTCCTCCCTTTGCCCACTCTAGACACAAATGTCTCAAAGAAAACCAAGGAAACGGCTCGAAATTTCCCAAAGAGAATGAGACACAAAGAGAATAGAGAATAAGGAACAAATGTCCCACGTTTGTCAATGTGAGGAGCAGAGTGAATGGTGAGACCGGCAGCACCAGCAAAGGGGGGGTTTCTTTTGCTGGTCTGAGTCGGGGTGCACAGCTCTCCCATCTCTGGCACCCGCTGTCCTTCAGCTCCCCCCAAGTTGAGGTGACTGGGACCCAGGGAGGTCTGGGCCAATGGCCTCATTCTTTTCTGCCTGTCCTTAATGTGGTGAGATTGGGGAGGGGGGGTGTTGAAGGGCCAGGGTCTTCACTCTTTCCAATCAAAATAGGTCAGAAAATGAGGATGAAAGTGGATTTACTAATTTCCACCCACTCTTCATGTTCAGCAGCACCAGCACCTCTGCCTGGAACTCAAGCCAAAAGCACAGGAGGAATGGCTGCAGCTAGATACCAAGAAGAACCAGCAGACAAACGGGGTGGAACACAGGCAGGAGGTAGAGAGGAGCTCTGGGTGCCTCTGGGCAAAGAAAGGACCTAACAATGTGATTGAGGACATGCGTCACCCGAGGTAGAGGGGCCTGGCCATTTGGTCTCTTGAGTTCTGTTCTGGAGGAGCTGCTATGAAGAATGAAAAGGGGGCTCCCAGGTGGAGCAGTGGTCCCCGGGAGTGTGACAGCAGTTTTGCAGCCCCACCTCTCTGTGTGGCTTCTGGGGAAGTCAGGAAATCTGGTTCCCGTTCCTCCTCCAGCCTTGAGCAGACTGGTTGCCTTGTCTGGGTTCCATGCCACCATCCTGAAAACGAGGGGACTGGACCTGATGATCTCTAAAAGACGCCCAGCCCCACCCTTCAAGGTGATTTGAGTGTCTGCCATATGCTCAGACTGTTGGACACATTGCCCAGATGAGAGTCCACCTGGGCTAGTCATCAGGTCTGCAAGTCCACTACCGGACACTCACCTCTGGTCCCTGACTGCTGGGCAGGCCCCAGTCTTAATGAGTCCTGACGTGGCACTTGGTCATGAATGGCACTGGGCACGTGACAAGGGGCACCTGCCAGCAGCTTCTCCCCCCACCCCCGAACACAGGGAGCAATGACAATGTGCCTGGACCACCTCATCTAGGCTATTCTCAGCCAAGCGTTGTCCTCCAGCCCCCTCCTGTAAAGAATGCAGCCAAATTCAGCATCCACTGGTCTGAGACCATCCTGAAGTCAAATGAGCCAAGGTACCAACCCCCACACATTACAAAGGGGTCTATCCCATGGCTCTGCAGGGACATTCTGTACCCCAGCTCTCTAAGTCCCCTCCAGCCCCAGGAAGCCTTCCCTGAAGATGCTGGCTCACTCATCTGCCCCTTCTCAGAGGGCCTACACCATGTCCTACCTGAGCCCCAGAAACAGCATGTCCCCATCCATTGCCATCTCCACTGAGACCTTCCTAGGACTCCCCAACCCCACATAACCTCTGTGTCACTTGGAGTTGTGGAGCTGGAAGGGTTAAAATAAAACTGCAAGTCCTCTCTGCATGGCACTTGGAAATTACATTAGTTTGGGGAAGGTCAGCTGTAGAGGACCCCCAATACACAGTGGATTGAAGAACACACAAGTTTATCTCCATCTCTGCAGAATCACGATGGATGCTATTGAAACTGTGTTGATATGCCCCTGAAGCCCCTTACCATTTATGCTCACCAGCCTGACTTCTTGTTTTTATTATTATTGTCATTTTTAGTTGTAGGTGAACACACAGTATCTTTATTTACTTGTAGGTGTGCCTCACACATGCAAGACAAGCACTTTACCCTGAGTTATGGCCCCAGCCCCCGAGCCTGACTTCTGATGGGCAGTACTTGCATCTTTCTCAGAGGGCTGTCCTTGGCTACTGACGTTCACTCTGCCCACCAGTGCACAGAGGACCAGAGGTTCCTAGGAACTGATGTCTTCCAGGAATAGATGGGCATCAGGGTAAAACTACCCCAGGTCCCTCTGTGCAGGCCAGCGCTGATGGCTGGACTTTCCACCCTTTCCCAGAGCTTCCCTGTGGAAGGGAGCTCTAGTCATCTGCCAGGGTGGCCGGCTGGACAACATGGGCTGCCTCCCGTCCTCTGTGTCACCTCCCCACGTACCTCTGTGCTCATGCCCTCCCAAGCAAACTGCAGTCACTAGGTCCTCTTCTGAGAGGGGCAATTGTGCTCAGCCTGGAACAGGTCAAGTTCCTTGCATCTTCTTGCTCAGCCACCTCCATGCCACCCCCAGCATGTTTTCCTGCTCTGCTTGGTCAAAGCAGACAGAGCCACACCCTGGCTCCCAGGAAGGAAAAGACAGGCCATATGCAGGGAGGTGGCACAACCGCACCAGAGTGAGCTTAGTCCCTTCCTTTCACGTCTTTGGTGAGAATTTGGCTGCGGGGGAGGCTGGAGATGTGCCCAGCTTCGAGTCAGTTAGTAACGATGAGGTGAGATGATCATGGTGGACAGCACACAGCCTGCTACAGAACTTGAATAACACCCGTCCATCTTCTGAGCTCCAAACTATGCCAATGTAAAGCTGCATCTCTTCTAAGGGCTGCTCTGTTGAGTTCCCACAGCACAAGGAGAGCATTACTACCCCCCTTTAGAGATAAGGCAACTGAGGCACTGAGAAGTCAACCATCTTCTCTGAGCCATCCACATGAGCAGGAGACAGTCAGGATCTAAACCTGAGTCTGGCTCATGAATTTTTCTATTCTGTGGTTCTTCTGCCTTTTATCCCTACAAAAGCGTTTTTATCTTGCTCAGTATTATCACTTTGAAGGTGACAGAATTGGGGGGCAGAGAAGGGCAGGGATAATTCACATAGAGAGCAAAAGGCTGAATCAGGCCAGAGCCCAGGGGTCATGGCCGCCGCCTGCTGCTTTGTCCGAGAGGCCTCCTCCAGGCTGACTACCTCTCACAGCTCTGGCCCTGACACAGACTAGAATCACTGGGCTGCAGGAGAAGGACATGCATTCCTTGGGCTCACTGAATCTAGAGCCCAGCCTCACCCCACAGCAGTCCCCTGAAGTTTCTAAGCAGAAAAATCTACGAATCAAGGGGACAGTGGTGGCCCAGCGTCCCTTGTTTCCCGGGCAGCCCCCTCTGTGCTTAGCTCACAGACCTCGAATCAACTCCCTGGCCTCCCCCAGGAGGAGAGGAACATTTATTCTCTTGGGCCTGGCTGTTGTGATGAAGGAACTAGACAGTGAAGAGGGATTGGGCCACCAGGGTCCCCAGATCCTGCGTGAAGCCATCCCTTTGCTGTCGTCAGTGTCAGTTGCCTAGCAACTGCCTTTGGCAGATGGTGGCATTGAGAGCATGCCAATCTCTTCCACAGCTAAAAATACATTCCGACGACAACAGGTCTATTTTAAA